TGCATTGCTTCTCATCTTCACATCAGTCGTGCAAAATAAGTGTTGGTTTGTCTATTTTTAAAATAAGAGGACTGGAACTCAGAAAAATTAAAATAACATGCTCAGGGTGATAGTAGTTATATAATCTGGTGCCAACTTGAAACTATTAAAAGTGAAGGGGTGGAGTTTAGTCTGTCAATCAGGTTGCAGCTTGATGACCTCATTTGGAGGTGCTATGGAGATAAGTAGCACACTGGAAGCGGGACACACACACTCTGCTTGTATTCCTAACGACAAGACACATGGAGGTATGCTAGAGCCCTGGAGCTAGAGGAGCCATGTGGAGACCCACACCAGCATTGAGATGCTTGCTCTGCTACTGGATCCATAAAACTTTCCACCAGCTGGCTGTGATCTTCCTGCATTCGGCATCATTGCATGTGTTTCATGAGTCTGAAGAGGAACTAATAGTATCAGACATATGGGCTAGTATCAGACTTACAGAATTGATCTGGGCTGAGATGTTTTCTCAATATTCAATTGCTCTTGTATATAAAGCTTTTTCTTATACAAACGAGTGTCTATGAATTTGTTTCTCTATCAACCTTGACTAAACAAAGTCATATATATAAGCTCTTTGTCATCTGGAGGCTTTAAAATATATTGCTGGCATTGTGGCTTAGGCATTGGCCTGCTAACCCCAGATTTGGCAGTTCTAAACCATTAGCCACTTTGTGAGAGAATGATGATAAGATGATAAGACTGTAAAGATTTTCAGTCTCAAGAACCCTGTTTAGGGTCACTATTAATCAAAATTGACTTGATGGTTGTGGTTTTGTTTTGTTTTAATGTAGACAGACAGATTTTAAAATACGTAAAATAGAGTATTATAATGAAATGCTTCCATGTACTTTCATATATATCACCTCATCTCTGTCACCCAACTTCAATAATTGTGAATGATTTCAGTTGTTGGGTTGTGTGTGGATTTTTTGCTTTATCTGGGAGGGTGGGTGTTGAGGCTTATTTTTGAAGGCAACATATTTTACATCTGTAAGTAAACACTTGGCCTTCACCTGATGGAATGAATACACAGGAATCGAATAGACTTTATTTGTGGAAAGTGATCATGGGGAAGCTTAATACCATCAATCAGAACATGAAGAAATTTAAACAAGGCCATAGGAGTCACAGTATGAGGTTGTTTATATCCCCCCTGAATTTAGAAACCGTCTCAAGAATAGATTTCACACATTCAACACTAATATCCAAAGACGAGACCAGCCATGGGATGATATCGAGGACCTCATACATAGAGAAAGGACAGGTCATTAAAAAGACAGGAAAGAGAAAAGACCAAAATAGATGTCAGAAGAGCCTCTGAAGCTTGCTGAAGAATGTAGAGAAGCTAATACAAATGTAAGAAATAATGAAATAAAGCTAAACAGAAGATTTCAAAGGGCAACTTGAGAAGACAAACTAAAACAGTCTAATGAAATATGCAAAGACCTAGAGTTGGAAAACCAAAAGGGAAATAGCATGTTCAACATTTTTCAAATTTACCTAAAGAAAAGAATTTTAAACCTTGGTTTGTATGTTTAAAGGCTTATTAGGGGAAAGTACTGAATTAAACAAGATGCATCGAAAACACAGAGTTCTATGTATAGAGTTACTGTACCAAAAATAGTTGATAATGTTCAGCTATTTCAGGAGGTAGCATATGATCAGAAAATGTTGGTATTAGAGGACTAATTCTAAGCTATACTGAAGGCCTTGCCCCCCCCCCCAAAAAAAAAACCCACCAAGACTCCAGGAATCGATTGAGATATTTCCACAAATGGATGCAGCATTGGAAGTATTCACTCATGTATACCAAGAAATTTGAAATATGACTGGCCAAATGACTGGAATAGGTCTATATTTGTGTCCATTCCAAAGAAAGATGATCTAGCAGAATGCAGGACTTACTGAAAAATAACACAAGCAAGTCAAATTTAGCTGAGGATAATTCAAAAATGGCATCAGCAGTACATTGGCAGGGGGCTGCTAGAAACTCAATTTGGACTTAGATGATTATATGGCATGAGTGATAATCATTGCAGACAGTATATGGATCTTGGCTGAAAGCTGAGGATGCAAGAAAGAAGTCTGTTTTATTGACGATGCAAAGACATTAAGACAGTGTGGATCACAACAAAATTAAGGATAACACTGTAAAGAATGGGAACTCCAGAATACTAAATTGTTCTATGGAGCCTGTACACAGATCAGAAGGCTGCCATTCAAACTGAACAAGTGGATACTTCATAGGTGAAAATCAGGAAAGGTGTGTATCAGGATTGTATTCTTTCACTGTACTTATTCTGCCTGTATGCTCAACAAGTGAACTGAGAAACTAGATTGCATGAGGAATGCAGCATAAGAATTGGAGGGAAACTCAATAATCTATAATACGGAAATGATACAACTTTACTTGCTAAAAGTATAGAATTCTTGAAGTGTTTATTGTTGAAGAAAAAAGAATATAGGCTTCAGTATGGATTACACTTCAATATAAAGAAGACAAAACAAAATGTTCAGAACTGGACCAATAAGCACCACTAGCTAGATGGAGAAATGATTGAAATTGTCAAGAATTTCATTGTACTGAGTCCACAAGCACTAAGCATGGAAGCAGCAGTATTGCATTGCACAAATCTGAAAAAAAGACCTCTTAAAAAAAATTTTTTTTTTAACTGTCACTTTAGTCTTAAGAGACTAATATCTGAAGAAGGGGACATCTTTCTTGGCAAAGGAGAAGGTCAGCAAAAAGGAAGGACTCTCAAAGGGAGGATCGACAGAGTGGTGGCGACAGAGGCCTCCAACAAAGCAACAATTAAGAGGTGACAGGAGCAGGCCCTGGTTTGTTCTAAAGTTGCTGTTTGCCCGAGCTGCCTTGGCAGCACCTAACAACATCAGGAGTAAACAAGCCAGAGAAGGGAGAGTTGTTTGACAGACGTTTGAAGTAAAGATTTTGTAACCTTTCAATACTCTTAAGCTGTGAATTTTTTTTTTAAAGAGTGGTTCCTTTCAAGTATTGTAATAGGCAAATCCACAAGTTTATCAATTTCTTTGAATATTAGACTTCATCCTTTCGTTGAAAGATTCGGTGTTCTTGAGTTGGCTTTCTTACTGAGTTCCGTAAAAAGCAAATTGGCCAGCAATTGGTATTTTCCATTGAGGTGAAACTGGGCAAATACCTGTGTAACTGAATATTTGTGGTTTCCGCAGGCTACTGGATACTCTGTTTTCCTACAGCACTCAGTTTGCAGTATGGAGCCATCTGCCAAATTCTTCTAAAATTGGCTGCAACCTGAATTATTCCCCTCCAGTCCCTTGATTCTGGGCTTTCATTCTCCACACCTAGCATTTAAAGAGCAAGAAAGCCAGAACATCTTTTCCTAATTTAAAAATAAACATATTCCTCCTGTTAGCTGTCCTACTTTAATATTTCTCTCTCCTCCCCAGTTTTGGAAAGTAATATTGGCCTTTTGGACAGTTCTTAATTTGTCCATTCAAAACAACTTCTTCCATAAACCTAAAATTACTTCAGAAAGTAAACTTGAAAGATAATTGTATGCCTCTAATCACGTAGCCAAATTATAAAGGAATAGAAATTAAAACTGCCAATGTCAGGAAAATAGTGACTGCTATAGAAGTTAGAGGGGATTATGACTGGGAAAGGGCACAAGAAAACTTCGGAGGAGTTGGAAATTTCCTGGCAGTTGACTCTACACAGAGTAACTTTGTATGTATTTATTAAACCATATATGTGTTTCCTGTACTTTTCTGAATGTAAGAGTTTAGAAAATTGTAGGTATCACTTCCAAATCAGAAGTGAGAAACATATTTCTAATACTTGTGTTCCTTCATTAACTTTAGAGTTCATAAAGGATGTTTTCTTTGGCAGTAAGGGTTCCAATAGGAACAGTTACCTGTCTGACTCATGGTCTTGTGTAATTTGTTTAGATAGAAACATTGAAGCACAATGATCCTTTTGCTCCTGGTGGCACCATTGTTGTTGCAGCAAGTGATGCAGGTAAAAAAATGAACATTAGAGGTTTATTCTTTCTTTTAAGCTTCTTCTTTCTTTTCTTTTTTGACTTCCAAATGTATTCATCCTTTATTTATGACTCTACAATTACTACATAATTATATGCAATTTGAATCTGTGAAAATAGTAATGATATGTCTGTATAATACTTATTATCTTACTTATTGTTCATGTTAAAATTATCATAGTAGAATATGTATTCTAACCAAAATCAGTAAAACCAAAAAAACTATTTGCTTTATGAAAGGCAATTATTTCTTGAGAGCTTCAAAGTCAGCATTGATTCTTGGCCTAATTGAAAAAAATAATGTGTGGTTTCTGTTAATAACACAGGAAAAAGCTGCTATGTGTTATTCTTGTACTCAGCCTTCATGCTTTATTGATGGCATATTTTCCCCTTTCACTCATTTCAAAAATTAGCCTTTTAACATAATGTCCTCATTTTGAAGATCAGCAAACTGAGGACCAGTGCAAATAAGTAACTTGGTCAAGATTATACAACTTACCCGGCAAGATTCAACCCTAGATCCGGTGGAATACAGATGCTTTTTCAACTAACTACCCCTGCTTCTTTCCCATTATTCATTTAAAAACAGACTGGCTCTTTTGTGGGAGAGTCGGAAATTAGAAGGAAATAGACTCAAACATGTGTAAATACTTTAACATCGTGGTGAAATAAAATGTCTTATTTTTTCCAGATGATACTCTGAATTGCTCAGTACACAAATTTGCTGAATGTGACAAACTGAGGATAGCAAGCATAGCAAGCACTTAGTAGGAATGCCTTCACAACTTAGATCTCTTACATGGAACAAATTGAGACAAGATGACATTTGATTTAGATCAGTTTAATTCACTAACTGCTACGCATTACTAGCAAAATGGAGGAATCTAGAAAGAAGATGTAGAAAGCAATTTCATGAATTGTTGACTATTGATACAAACATACATTTCGATAAAGAGCAAATGAGATTTCTAAATGGCTGGTTATATTAACTGGTTATATTAACTTTTTAGGCCTTGATTATCAAACTGATTAATATAATCCTGGATTATTACAAAGCAGAAGGGAACTTTTGTGGTATGACTTGAAAGAGTAGGCTAGAATTTCAGCAAGTGCATAGGAGAAATGAGGCAGGACCACTTGGACATGTTTAGGAAAAAACTAAATAGGTACTTTGACAAGAGCTTGCTTACAGATAGAGTAATAATACCACTAAGGCTGAAGTGGTAGATTGGAATCTTACTATAGGTAAAATGCTTTTGCTGGTCTTCTCTTTCAATTATAGTTCCTAGCTCATTTTTTAAAAATCATTTTATTGGGGGCTCATACAACTCTTATCACAATCCATGCATGCATCCATTGTGTCAAGCACATTTGTACATTTGTTGTCCTCATCATTCTCAGAACATTTGCTTTCTACTTGAGCCCTTGGTATCAGCTCATTTTTTTCCTCTTCCTTCCCACTCCCCCCTCCCTTATGGACCCTTGATAATTTATAAATTGTTATTATTTGGTCCTATCTTACACTGTCGGATGTCTCCCTTCACCCACTTTTCTGTTGTCCATCCCCCAGGGAGGAGGTTATACCTAGCTCATTTCTTATAAGGTGTTAGAGTAAATAACTATAGAGCCTGGGAGCTAAGATTTATTGGTTATTGCTGTTGGTCACAGAAACAATAATAGCAACCATTTATTAAGCAGTTCCAGATACACTGAATCAAATTGGGTTCTTATTCTAGTGATTATTTTTTCATCAAGGTTGCCATTTTGGAAGTATAGAAATACTTCCCAAGTTAACAGTTTTGATTGTATTTAACTGTCCTGGTTGGTGCAGATGGCTAACTGCTCACCTAGTAGCTGAAAGGCTGGCAGTTCTTAGAAAACAGATCTGGTGATCTGCTTCTGAAAGTTCAGTCTTAGCAATCAGTGCTCATGGAAGCAGCAATGAAGAGATCAAAAGAAGTGTTGCATTAGGTCAGTCTGCTGCACAAGACCTCATTATAGAGTATTGAAGAGCATGGGTGTTACTTTGAGGACTAAGGTGTGCCTGACCCAAGCCATGGTTTTCTCCATTGCATTCTATGCATGTAAAAGTTGTGTATTGAATGAGGAAGACCATAGAAGAATTAGATGCATTTGCATTGTGGTGCTGGAGAGGAATGTTGAAAGTAACATGAACTGCTAAAAGGACAAACCAATCTATGTTGGAGGAAGTAAGGCCAGAGTACTCCTTAGAAGCAAAGATGAGAAGACTTCCTCCTACATACTTTGGACATGTTGCCAGGACAAACCAGTACCTGGAGAAGGATGTTTTGTAAAGTGGAAGGCTGGGAAAAAGAAGAAGGCCCTCAATGAAGTGGACTGGCTGACACCATGGCTCCATCAACAGGCTCAGGCATAGGAAGAATTGTGGGGATGGCACAGAACCAATGCAGTGTTTTGTTCTGTTGTGCACAGGATCGGTTTGGGTTGGAGCTGATTTGATGGCACCTAACACCAACAGTTTTTCTATCTGAAGGGCTACAGTATATTAGGTAAAGAATTACTGGGGGTTCGATTAGAAAATATATGGCATGTGAGAATTCTTGCTAAAGTTGAAGTAGTAAATGCTGAGCATTATATCAGAAAGGCTAATCCTCTGATCCACTGTAAGGATCTCTACTTTTTTAACATGATGTTTTAGTGTTTGGTTTTGTGTAGACTTTCTATCTGTAAGGCATCAAAAAAGAGGAAAGTCTGACAAGGTGGATTGGCACACTGGCTGCAATAACAACAATTGTGAGAGTGGTGCAGGACTGGGCATACTTTCTTTCTGTTGTACATGAGGTTGCTGTGGGTTGGAACCGACTGGATGGAACCTAACAACATCAGTAGACTGCACCCTACTATTATCTACACTTATTTCCTTATTGCTTATTACTTCTAGCATACTGTGTAAATTACTCTGTTTTCCTCCTCTTTAACTCATCATACTGGGACGTTAGCTCCAGAAGGAATTGGGATCCCAAGAACCTGAAACTGTGCATGACACATAATATTATTAAGTGAATGAGTGAGCAGCCATTCCTCAGAGTACATACAGTGGGAGCTCAATGAATGAGAATCTGAGAGCTTTTTAAAAAAAAAGGTTACATATGTTATTCTCATTTAAATCTTTACATGGTTATGAGATAGGTACTACTCCTCACTTTAAATCTGAGGAAATGGAGACACAATCAAACACTTTGCCCAGGGTCACACTATAACTAAGAAACAGCAATGCTTCATTTCCATGTTGCTTCTTATTACAGAGCCTGCACGCTTAGCCATTTTGTTAAGTGCTGTTTGCTTGTTTTCTCATTCAGCTCTAGGGGGCAGGGGTGGTGTGTGGTATGTGTGTGTGTGAGAGAGAGACAGATTCTTTTAAGTGTCTCTGGATCTCTTTAAAACTGTACTTAAGACAAAATAATAATCATTTTTAAATTATCAAGGGTTCATGAGGGAGAGGGGAGCGGGGAGGGAGGGGAAAAATGAGCTGATACCAAAGGCTCAAGTAGAAAGCAAATGTTTTGAGAATGCTGATGGCAACAAATGTACAAATGTGCTTGACACAATGGATGGATGGATGGACTGTGATAAGAGTTGTACGAACCCCAATAAAATGATTTTTTAAAATAAGTAAATGAATAAATAAAACTGTACTTAAGTACATGCAACCTTAGGTTTTATGAATCAAATTTCAACAAATTGACATATACCCATTTCAACATATACAAATTTCAACAAATTGGCATATACACATAAGTGGTATCAGGCGAAATTGTTTTGGTGCAAACCTTTTTGAATTAAAATTAAACTACTTTGAGATTGCAAGGCTTTGGGTTTTAAATTTATATCTTATATCCTGGAATTTATTTCTGTGGGTAAATTAGGTTTTTCAAGTGGAGCAACGAAAAGCAAGTACAGAGATCAGTTGAATTCCTGGCTTTAAATCTTTGTATTTAAAATGGCTTCACATTGTTGCAATTGCCAGTATATTAAATCATAGGTTCCCACACTTATTGGGCCGGCTGCCCCCTTTCAGGATAAAAATTACTCAAGACCCCCCACCTCGGCAATTTAAAACTTTTGTACTATAGCTCATTTAAAAAGAAAAGAAAAAATTTACTGCTATCAAGTTGGTGCCAACTTATAACAACCCTGTAGGAGTGGGTAGAACTGCCCCTGTGGGCTCCCAGACTAAGGAAGGGAGTAGAAGTCTTTGTCTTTTTCCCATGGAGCAGTGGTTTCAAACTGCTGACCTTGAGGACAACCACCCAACTAGTAACCACTATGGCACTAGGCCTCCAACTATAGCCCATTTTGTTGTTGTTTTGGTTGTTGTTGTCAGATGCCATCGAGTCAGCTCCAACCCATAGCAACCCTATGCCCAACAGAACGAAACACTGCACAATTCTAACCATCTTCACAATTGTGCCTATGGCCAACCCCATTGATGCAGCCTCTATGTCAATCCATCTCGTCAAGGGCCTTCCTCTTTTTCACCACCCTTCCACTTTACTAAGCATGATGTCCCTTCTGGCCTGGTCTGTCCTAACAACTTGTCCAAAGTATGTAAGGTGAAGTCTTCCCAGCCTTGCTTCAAAGGAGCACTCTGGTCTTACTTCCAGTACGGACTGGTTTGTTATTTTCACAGTCCATGTTACTTTTCAATATTCTTCTCTAGCACCACAATTCAAATGCATCTGTTCTTCTGTCTTCCTTATTCAATGTCCAAGTTTCACGTGCATATGATGAAATGGAGAAATACCATGGCTTGGTCCTCAAAGTAACATCCTTGCTATTTAATACTCTAAAGAGGCCTTGTGCAGCAGATTGATCTAATCTTTCAATCACTTCACTGCTGCTATAGCCCAGAGTCCAGGATAAAGTATAGATAGCTGCTTTTGCAGCCCCCCTGGATCATTCAGCAGCGCCCAGGAGTGGCGGAATCACCCACTTTGATGTGTTAAATGAATGTTATAAATTTGAACTGAAATAAAAGTCCCACTTACTGGTTTTTATATATTCAGATTTCACATAAGAGTTGAGAAGTGTTATCTCCCTAATATAATAGATAAGAAAATGGGCCCAAGGCCATATATCAGTTTCCCTTTTAATCCTTGTCCATTGATCTTCTGTATTAACCTGCCTCCCTACTTATCTATTAAGTAAATGACAAATTTAATATACTCTAGGAAAGCAAAATTTGAAGAAGGGCAAAATTACAAGGACTCTAGGTAGGGGAAACAATAAGATGAAAAATACTGAAAAAAATTAAAAAGAAAAATACTGAGTAAAAAGATGAACGAGTTTTCGCAAGAAACTTGCAGTAAAAATGACTGGGTAGAGGTGGGGGAGACAACTCCGCACTTGAACTTTACCACGCTCTTGTTTCAGCAACAACAGAATAATTAGGAAAGAAGCTATTACTTGAACAACCAGAAGCATTGAACTTAGAGATCATCAAGTACAACTTTTTTGGCATCAAGTTTCTTATTCATTCATAAAAATTATAGACGACTCCAAAGAGCTTTTGGTTACATAGGTTATATCTAGCATTGTTTATTACATTAGAAATGAAAACTGAGAAATGTTAAGAAACATTTCATTTAAAAACAATAGTATTCTCATTACATATTAGCATAAATAATGTTGAAAGAAAAATAACTTTTTCAAACAAAAAAAAAATCAGTGAGAAGAATATTGTTGTTTAAACATTTTTACCAAAAAAAAAAAAAGAGAGAACCGAGTATCTTTGTCTATACAAAGTTCCAGACAGTTGGATCTTCATATCTACTTATGTATTCAATCTGTTGTGCTATGTTGCTTTTGTTAAGTAATCTATGAAATGAAAATAAATTTCTAGCTTTATACAGACAGGTAGTTAGAAAGGGAAGAATAGTATTTTAATCTTTTCAGATAATTATAGACACTTCTCTTCAAACTGAAGATTTTCAACAAGTTTGCATGTCTTCAAAATTAGTTATAGTAAAAAAAAAAATTAGTTATAGTAGGGAATATGAGACCTTATTAACAGATTTTTCTTATTGTTTTACATTAAAATGAGTCTGTCTGCTTTTACCTGTGAATGATTTCATAACATTGTGCCTTAATAATTTATTAAAATATGATTCACTGAGCTATGCAAATTTTCCATATATTCTTATATCTTACTGTACAGTTTTTTAAAATAACATTTTTCATATTGCTATTCATTTTGTTAGAAGAATCTGTAAGTACTGCTAATCTGATGAACTTATAGTAACCAATACAAGTTTTCCAACATTCTAATTTTTTCTTGATAGCTTAAATTTTATCATTTTCAATAAACTCATTTGTTTTTCTTAAATATTTTGAGGGTAAATAAAAGACAAATATTATGGTATCTGTTTAGAGAACTCTTTATAAAGGTTCTTGTCTCCCACTGCTCCCCTTTTTTCTCCTCAATATGTTCAACAAGAACGAGTGTCTCCTGTTTTTCCAAGCTTTGTTGTAGATCTTGATACTACAGTAGTGGAGAGAACAAAGTTCCTATCTTTATAGCGCTTGTCTGGGAAAGATAGGCAATAAACAAACAGCTGCCAGCTATTGAGATGTGCGCAAAGGAGCTCTGCTGGTGTCGTGGGTACAAGTTGGGTTGCAAAACGCAGGTCCGCAGTTCAAAACCATCAGCCCCCCGTGAGAGAAAGACAGGGCTCTCTACTCCCAGTCCGAGAAACCCACAGGGGCAGTTCTGTCTGGTCCTAGAGGGTCCCTATAAGTCAGCATTGACTTGAGGGCAGTGATTTTGGTTTAGGTTTTTTACTGGGAAGTGCTAGCAATTCAGAGGGAGAGGGAAAGTGTGCTGTACCTTAAATGTAGTTCTGTGATTTGCATCTTCACAAAAAGGCATTATATTGATCTCAGATATGTAAGAGAAAATGCCAAGAAAAAAGACTTTTGAGGAAGTATGCTAAAATATTATGCTATTTCTGATAATAAGAAAATAGATAATTTATCATGTTTTTAAGTTGTTTTCCAAAGTGCACATTCTTGTGGGTGAGTGGGTGTGCTAATGAGGTCACATTTGCATTTGAAACCTGATTCTGCTGGCCCTTGGCCCATGGCTCTGTGTGTTTCAAGAGGAGGAAAGCCACATATTGAGATCCCTTCATGTGTTTCTGGAACTCCCCAGCAGGTGTCTCTCCCATGTGATCTGAACAGGCTCTCACTGAGAGTCCTTCCAGCTTCTGGACAAGCGTCTGTCTGCTCCATAGCAGCCTTGATTACTGGGAAACTTCTGCATTCCTCAGCTTCCCAAACAATAATTGATCATTCACCCAGGACTCATTCCTCTATTTGGATCAGTGCTGAATAGGTCATTTATTCTGATGACAAAATGTGGGAAAAACTCTCTAGTCAGCCAAATGCCCTTCATGTAGAAATGTCGTGTTTTTTATTTCTCTCACAACATATACCTTACAGTATTTTAGCTAAACCTGTCCTGATTTGACTTCTTATGAAGACCGTGGAACAAGGGTAGAGTAAAAGCATTCTTCAGTCCCACTAGCAAAACGAGCCCAACTCCTTTTACCTTGTCAGCCTTATGCCATTCAGGAAAGCATCTGAGCATTGCTCAGGCTGGACCTTAGTTGTTAAAACATAAGGAATACTAGGAAAAGGAAGAAAGGAAGGTCCCAGGCTGTGGAATTCTAGTAGATATGTACATTTGGGGGCGGGCCGGGGAAAGTTCATGGAAAAAAATGGTGCCCTTTCTGAAGCCCCTTTGAATTAAGAAAAGATCATCTTGAATTAAGAAAAGATCTTCTGCAACACATAGATTAAAACTGGAACTACTATATACAGAGAAGATTAGCATGGCCTCTGTGCCAGGATGACATGCAAATTTGTGAAGCATTCTATATTTTTTCAGGGTGTAGTATAGCACCGAGGAAATACACAACTTTCCTCTAGTTCTTTAAGCCTTCCTGCCCCACTCCCTCATCATGACCCCAATTCTGCCTTACAAATCCGGCTAGACCAGAACATGTACACTGGTACAGATAAGCGCTCGCAACACAGGGAATCCAGGACAGAGAAACCCCTCAGGACCAATAATGGGAGTAACAATACTAGTAGGGGAAGGGAAAGAGGATAGTGGCGAGTAAAGGGGAACTGATCACAATGATTGAGGTATGGCCCCCTCCCAGGGGGACAGACAACAGAAAAGTGGGTGAAGGGAGACAGTGTTCAGTGTAAGACATGAAAAAAAAAAAATTATCAAGGGTTCATGGAGGAAGGAGGGGGATGGAGAGAGGGCAAAAATGAGCTGATAACGAGTTCCAGTAGAAAGAAAGTGTTTTGAAAAGATTATGGCAACATATATACAGATGTGATTGACACAATGGATGTAAGAGCTGTAAGAGCCCCCAATAGAAGAAAAAAATAAAAGATCATCTTATATAGCTAAGTTATAGGATTGATTTTTAATACGGGGCTTCTCAACTTCTTCATAGTCACTGGTACATCCCTAAAGGATTGAGCTTTATAAACTCTCACTACCCATTTTACTACATTTTACCCCTACTTCTTGACTGTCTTGGTGACAAAGCAAACAAGAATAATGTATCTTTCCTGCCCTGCTTTTGTTGATTTACTTGGTACATTCATTTTCAGAGGTAAAGTAAAGGTACACTTTACATATTTAAATGAATCATTTGACACATTGTTGTTCTAAGATAGTTTAATGTGAAGGAGAGCATCTGCCCAGTGGCCTTGATGTGTAGGTACCATTGAGTTGCTTCTGACTCAGGGATGCCCCCACACACACACACACACAACAAAGTGAAACACTGTCTGGTCCTGCACCATCCTCATAATTATTGCCATATTTGAGCCCATTGTTACAGCCACTGTTGAGCATCTTCCTCTTTTTCACTGGCCCTCTACCAAGGAAGATGCCCTGCTCTAGGGCTTAGTCCTTCCTGACACTGTGCCCAAAGTACTTGAGACAAAGTCTTATCACCCTTGCTGCTACGGGGCATTCTCACTATAATACTTCTAAGACAGAATTGTTGTTTCTACTAGCAGCCTATGGAATATTCAATATCCTTCACCAACCCCGTAATTAAACTACCTCAATTCTTCTTCAGTTTTCCATTGTTCACTTTTCCTGTGCATATGAGGTAGCTGAAAATACGATGGCACAGACACAGCTTAGCTTGAAACGTGGCATCTTTACTGTACAGCACTTGTATAGTTAAGCTGTAGAACTCAATACCCAATGCACATCTGTGATAGACCCCTTCATTTCCGCCTGCATAGTCATCTACTTGGGTAAGACTTTGCTCTC